ACTCTGTCCCTCATCACCAGTGTTTTGATTCTAACTACTACCTCCTTCAATCTGCCCTCCCTTCTATCAGCCCCCTCCCTTTTTCCTCCTTCCCCTCCTACTTCCCTATAGGGGAAGATAGATTTCTTTACCAACTGAATGTGCACGTTATTCCTTCTTTGAGCCAATCTCATGAGGATAAGGTTTAAACAATGCTCATCTCTTCCCTTCTGCTAGAATAAATCTTGTGTGCCTCTTCATTCTGCCTCCCCCTTCCCTCTTCTCCCAATACCATCCTTTTTCCTCCCACCCCTTAATGTTTTTTAATATCACAGAAAATTCGACTTATATCCACACCCCCTATTTATATTCCTTTTAACTGCCCTAATAGAGATAACAGTTCTTAAGAATTACAAGTATCATCTTCCCATGTAGGGATGTAAACAGTTTAACCTTATCGAATATCATGTTTTGTTTTGAGTTCTTTTTTTTCTTTCCTGTTTACCTTTTTTATGCTTCTCTTGAAGTTGTATTTGAAGATCAGATTTTCTGTTTAGCTTCTGGTCTTTTCATCATGAAAGTTTGAAAGTCCCCTGTTTCATTGAGTGTCCATCTTTTCCCTTGAAAGATTATGCTCAGTTTTGCAGGGTAATTGATTCTTGATTGTAATCCAACCTCCTTTGTTTCCCAAGCCCTTTGATCCTTTAATGTGGAAGCTGCTAAGTCCTGTGTAATACTGACTATGGCTTCTTGATATTTGAATTGTTTCTTTCTTGCTGTATTTTCTCCTTGACCTGATAGTTCTGGAATTTGGCTACAATATTCCTTACATTTTTCATTTTGGGATTTCTTTCAGGAGGTGTTCAGTGGATTCTTTCAATTTACTATTTTACCCTCTGGTTCTAGGATACCAGAACAGTTCTCCTTGATAATTTCTTGAAAGATGCTGTCTTTTTTTGATCATGGCTTTCAGGTAGTCCAATAATTCTTAAATTATCTCTCCTGAATCTATTTTCCAGGTCAGTTGTTTTTCCAATGAGTTATTTTACATTTTCTTCTATTCTTCTGTTTTTGTTTTTGTTTCTGTTATTGTTTTTTTTTTTTGGACTGACTCTTGATGTCTCATAGAGTCATTAGCTTCTACTTGCCCAATTCTAATTTTTAAGGAATTTTCTTCAGTTAGCTTTTGTACCTCCTTTTCCATTTGGCCAATTCTATTTTTTAAGTAGTTGCTTTCTTCAGTCAATTTTTGTGCTTCCTTTTCTAAGCTGTTGATTTTTTTCATAATTCTCTTGCTTAACTCTCATTTCTTGTCCCAATTTTTATTCTAATTTGATTTTTAAAGTCCTTTTTGAGCTCTTCCAAGAGGATTTTGAGGACTTGAGACCCTTTAAGGCTTCACATATAGGCATTTTGACAGTGTTGTCCTCTTCTGAGTTTGTGTTTTGATATTCCCTATAGCCATAGTAGCTTTGTATAGTCAGGGCTCTTTCTTGTTTTTTGCTCATTTTCTAGTCTATTTTGTGACTTTTTAAGTTGAGCTCTGCTTCTAGGGTACAGGGGCCACTGTCCCAAGCTTTTTTCACTGGAGGCCAGGGGCCTGGTCTCTGCCTTTCTATGCCAGGGCCTCCAGGGCTGGTGGCCTGCCCACTGCACTAGAGGGACCCAACCTAATCATACCTATTGTGCCGAGGGTTCTGGGGCTGGCAGTTTGCCTACTGCACTGAGGCCGGAGGCTTCACAGCTGGCTTTCTGTGCCACTAGCCTACACAGCCAGGACTGTGGGGCCTCGGTTGCTTATCTATGATATGACTATAACCTCCTGCTGGTTTGCCCAGGACACCACCTGCCTGGGCTATGCTCCCCTTTTACAGAGAGACAGACCTTTCCTGAAGTCCTTCTAAGTTATCTTGGGCTAGAAAATTGTTTCACTTCATCTTTTTTGTGAGTTCTGTAGCTCCAGAATTCATTTAGAGGCTTGATTTAACATTGTTTCTGAGGAAAACTGGGGAGAGCTCAGGCAACTTCCTTGCTTCTCTCTGCCATCTTGGCTCCCCCTCTAATTATGTTTTAAAGTTCATACCTAATTTCTATGAATTTCATTTTTAAAAAATATTCTGGAATTAGTTACCATGGGTTCTGGGATTTTGTATTATCAAGCAATAATGATTCACTTTACTTCATATTATATTCGTTTAATGCATTGTTTTTTACTTAAGGTTTTACTCATTCTATTCTTGATCCACTGTTGCTTTTCATTCAGGTTTTTATCTTGTTTTTCCTTTACTCTCCCCTCTCATTGGTGCATATATCTCTATAGCTGAGGTACAGAGGATCTGGCTGCCTCACCTGAGTCCGTGTGGTGCAGTGGAAAGAACATCAGTTCTGGAGGCAGAGGACTTGACTCTTACTACCTGCTTAACTCCCATACAGCATTCCATGGAACATAACATAAATACATCTAAGAAACTTAAAAAGAAATGCATTGTAGGAGGCTCTATCTCAATTAGGTGGCTCACCCTTTTTCTCAACTTAGTCAACTCTTAAATATACATGTCATCAAAAGTCAAAAATCATCCAGGAGAAAAATATTAGCTCTAAAGTATACTTACATATACAACAAGATATTTAACTTCCCTAGAGTTCAGTTTCCTCATTTATAAAATGAGGCAGTTGGACTAGGTGGCATTGGAGGTCCCTTCCAGCTCTAGGTATGTGGTCCTACAGTTTCATATTGGAGAGCCTGCTGATTGGGATCCCTGATCTTAAGTAATTTACCATGATCTTCCAATCCCATTTCAAGGAAGCTGAACATGCTACTCCCCACTAGCACTGCTCCTGATACATTTATCATCTGCCTCATTACTCCTTCTCTATAGGTGGCTGAGCAGAATCAGCACCTGCTACTTCATCTGGGGTGGTATTTGGGCAGAATTACTGAAGCTTTGGGGAACCCTACGCTGTTGTGCATTTGGCCTGGAGTTAAAATCTGGAATTTTGGCTTGAGCTTTCTGGAGGGGTACAAGGAGTTAGGTGAAGGAGGAGGTACTGAAAAAGAGCTCTAAGGATTAAAGTTGTCCAGAGTTAACTCTTGAAGGAGAAAGTTAACTCACCTTTGGGGGAAAGGGTGTGTGTGTCTGGGGAATATTGGCTTATATTTTGTAATCAGCTGTAATTTGTATCTGGTGCATAAACTCAGGGAAAGGTTATTGTCCAATTGTTCTAAGATACATTGGCTTCAGGAAGGAAATGAGTCTATCTGAAAACATTCATGGTGCAGTATATGCAGTATTGTTACTACCTCTATTGAGCAACTTGTCATCTCATTGAAGTGCATTATGGGTGAAGGTAGCTATTTGCTGATGTTTTTTGATGCTGATACAGTAGAAGAGAACATTAGTGAGATAATAGGAGCAATTTACTGCTACCCCAATTATTGAATGAGCTTTAAAGGAGACAAGAAGCTAGAGACCCGTAGCAGCTAAAGTATCGTCAATACTAGCTGGTGTCTCAGACAGGCCCTTTGATCAGTGTAAGATCAAACTTTTATGAGACACAACTGTATCTTCTTGGTTTCCCTTGAAGATCCTTTTTCAGCCAAGGCTGTGTGTGTAGCTTGAGCTCTGTTGACAGACCCACTTCTGTGGCTGCTTCATCAAAACCCCTTTTTCACAATACTGAAGTGCCTTTTCTAAATAGTATTTTATAAATAAAAATTATTTTACATCCTTCAAAGAGTTGTCCGCTTAAGAGATGGTAATCAAAACCATGGATTAGATTGGCAAAAGAAGAGTATAGAGGCCAGGTAGTTCAACAGTCTGGGGAAGGGGAGAAAAGGAACATGTAGGAAAGAATAATCATCGATGTTTGGATTTCTTCATCTTGATTTCAGTCAGGAGCACAGACTCACTGTGTGCTGACATTGGTAATGAAGATAATAATTAGCCTTAACAAAAATGTAAACCAACCTTATCTAAACGAACAATTTCCATAGTTTTTTTTACCAGCAGAAATATGTTAGCATTTCAGTATCATTAGCCATTTCAGCAAATCAAAAGATTGTAATGGAAAGTAAGTATGAACAAAGGTTAATCCAACTCATGGGTTATAGACAGGGAGGGCTCATCAGGACTTGGCAGCACACATCTGTGAACACATCACAGAAAAGACTAAGAAGAGCCTCCATGGCAATTGAGTCCAGTACATTCCTGAATAAGGCATCATTTGTATCAGAGGAGCTGCCTCATACACAATTTCCACATAAATGGAAGTTTCTCCCATCCTCATCAACTCTGAGCCTCCAGATAGGAGAGAACTTGGAGAAAAGAGGAATAAGAAATTGACATCTCATTACAGTGACTCGTTTTGCCATTATGGGGTTTTCCCTTAAATTTATTCTTTATCCATGCAGAAATCATGGTGGGAGTTTTTTCTAAGCTACTATAAATTCCAGCTACCACAGCTACTGTTAAGATTATGTAGATCATTAACAAATTACAGAAACTGAGTGTTCATCTTTCTAGGTCAATCTGAGGTATACCACTTTTTAATTGATTCTTAAGTTGATTTACTTCGAATGGCATAGTGGAGAGAAAGATCTGGGTTCATTTCCTGCCTCTCTCTTGTAAGTCTATATACCCTTGAGCATCCTCTGTGCCCCCAGGCAACAAGTTGCAGAGGTGTGGGCCTTGGTATAGGAAACCTTAACCCAAGTGTTCCCTATCCCAATGAAAACATAGGTCTGGTCCCTATCCAATTACTTCACTATTCAAAGTTCGAGGAAAAGCAGTCTTTTACTATAGCAGCTCCAACATTCCTTGCTTTTTATTTTGATTTCAGGATATTACCTTTATTAGCATTTTTAAAATGTGTATTTGTGTGAATAAATGTTGAATACATTTTGATTAACTCTATCTATGGAGCATAAAGTCTGATGGAACCTAAATCTATCTAAACAAGTATGAGAGATAAAAACTGAGTTTCATTTATATTAATACCTATTTTTCTTATATTAAAATTAGGTGTCTACATTTATGGATTGTTTCTAGATGGAGCATCCTGGAATCGAAAGCTCAAGAAACTAGGAGAATCTTATCCCAAAATCCTTTATGATACTGTGCCTGTGGTTAGTATTTTTCTACTAATACTCATGTGGATCTTAACAGATAGTTTGAACTGCTTCCCTCTCATGTCAAGATGTTTATTAGTAACACTAATGCAGCTTCTGCCTCCAACTGGCTCTTAAAAGAAGCATTTCTAAAATAACTTGAGCAGTATACCTGGCTTATAAGTCTCTGAAGTAGACAACTTCCTTGGATGTATTAAGTACTAGTCATTCATTAAAAGAATCAGGCTCACTTCCTTATATAAGCCTTGTAATAGTAGTCCCCTGAGAAGGTGACAGTGGGACATACCTCCTTCGATCTGTTTTACACTGGCCTTAAATTTGTTTCCATTCTGAAGTGTCATTACACAATCAAGACAAAAGTGTGAGGTAGGCAGCAATAATTGGAACCATCACCAACCTACTGAAAAAAGAATGTATTAAAGGATGAAACTAATTAAGATTTCTGCAAATAACTGGAAACTCGTTACTATACAAACAGAAGGGGTCAATTTAAAATTGTCACAACCTATTATGAACATATACCCTAGAGATAAAGGGCTTTTTTCTTCCCCAATTTTTTACAGATGTGGCTAAAGCCTTGTAAGCGGTCAGACATACCAGACCGGCCTAGTTATGTTGCTCCAGTCTATAAAACAAGTGAGCGAAGAGGAACATTATCAACTACTGGCCATTCTACTAACTTTGTGATTGCAATGATTCTGCCTTCAGATAAACCTTCAGAACACTGGATTGGAAGGGGTGTGGCATTGCTGTGTCAGCTTAGTTCATAGCCATAAAGTGCCATTTTCCTGTAGATATGCCCTTTTCTCTCCACATTGGGTTCAGAGAAGGCATACTTACTTTTTAAACTAAAATTTTTTAATTTTAAATAATCTTGACTAGATTATGAGATTGTGAACATTTGTATATCAAACACAAAATATTTTTAATTCATACTACAGTTATATATAAGGAAATGTTTGAAATAAAAGACTAAAGAAACAAAACCATACATCTGCTCTTTTGAATAACTTTATTTTGGGGGAGTTCCTTATGCATTAGGAACGTACATAAATGAACACACCACTGTTGACAAACAAAAAACAGCATTTGTTTCCAGCTTTATAAATTTTTAAAAATGATTTAGTTATAAAGTTTAGATATCTCAGCAAGTATCACCTTGCAGGACCATCATCACATTTAAACCATAGACTCATTGTTAATGGAAAAAAAAAAATTCACACTGCATCTAGTTAACTACAGTATTTCTAAGCATAATCACAGCTGATTGAGTGCAATGTGATCTACATCAAAATTCATATGGATGTCACACAGTGACAGCATTGAAACAAGTAACATTAATGACCTCCAACATATAAGTTGAATTAGACCGTTCAAGCTGAATGGAATGCTGGAGCCAAAGAGAAATGTAGTGGAATTCCGATTGTCTAATAGGACTTAAAACTGTACATTAGAATGGTCTGGAACCAAATACTGGTGGGAACTTAAAAAAAATAAAAAAAAAAAAAAAAGACTAGCAGCAACAGATACATTGCTCTTCACAAAAGGTTGAAAAAACTTCCAGCAAATGAGGACAGTTGTTTCATTCTTGAGAAGAATGTAAAGCCAAACATGAAAAAACTCATTTGTTTTAAAATCAGCCATTTTAAGGCAGGGCATGTATTCAGCTGTTGCAGTTCATAAAATGGTTCTTTAATGAAGTAAATGTAAATGCTGGAATGCAGAATTGTGTCAAAACAAAAATCTTATTTTTGAGAGACACTTGAATCACTTGGAGTTGGCTGCACCTTTCTGCTAGGTTGCTCCAAGACCAAGCAATGAATTGGGATTCTACTAATTAAAATGCCCAATGCTGTAAAGAGTATTCCCACTGTGCAGAACCCCAATTTGTGACAATAATGGGAGTTTGCTGCTATAGCCACTCTTTTACTGAACTAAAACCTAACTCAGAATAACAACATAGATGCCCCCCTACCCCCTGCTCAAAGCATTAGGAACAAATACTGGCAGGCACCTAATAATACCTAAGGGTACATGCTGCTCTCTTCAAAAATTTAAAAAAAAATTTAAAAATAAAATTAAAAAGGGTTAAAGGAATGGGAAGGAAGGATTTTAAAAAAGGGTGGGGAGGAGGCTAAAATGGAAAAACTTCAAAAATGGAATGGAAAGAGTTTGGCTCTTATTAAGGTAGTAGAATAATAAGATTTTAAAAGCAGCTAAACTGATTGCCAAGCAGACGAAAACAAAACTGGCTGCAGAGAGTCCAAATATAGCTTACCTGGCATACATAGAAATGAAGACTGTAGCACACATCAATAGAAGGCTACATGCTTATGACCAGCATTGAGGGTCATTAGGTCAAAACATAGGATAAACATGGCTTGCACTTCTCACAAATCATTCACAATTATAGGAGACCTAAAAAAGACTTATCAGGCACACACAGTGTCTTCTCTTGGCATGAAGTAGCAAAACTGATTTCACTAGGTCAAGGCCTCTGATAATTTGGTTTTTATCCTCCAAACCAAACCCATTTGGTTCCATTAGAGCCACTGGAAAGGACTCCTATGTTATTAACTCTTCGAATAACCATTACTTTTTAATGCATAAATCCTGAATATTGGTTTTCTGGGACAGCCACAGTTTAAAACAATGGCATTAGAGCCAGGAACATAAAGTAATACATTCAGAACTCACAACACAGCTTCCCACACAGGTCAATAACAATGCAGGCAACAGGGAAACCTGTATCTGGACCATGCTTGAGGGGGTGGTACATCATTTCTTTGATTTTTTAGGGCACTGCTATGAAAAGGAAAGAAAAAAAGTTTTACCTTGTCCCAAAAATAACCACACTATTAATACTAAGAACCATTAGGAATCTTTCATTAAACCAGAGTTCACACAAACATACAATCACTATTTCTCAGTAGTTTAGGCTGCAAGTGAAACCACTATGCAAATATATATACAAAAATAGTAACTCTATGGACACAAGAGTCAGGGCTTACCCCCCCACACTAAATACAAACTCTAATGCAGCCTGAATCTTCCTACTAGTTCCTACAATCTAACATCAAATCTAATAACTTTTTATGCTATTAAAAAGTTGTATCAAGTTGATCCCTATTACCATACAGTTTATATAAAGTTGAACTACAAACCCCGGTACACTGTAATTATGTTTGCTCAAATGAACAAAAAAGGTGTGCCCAGCATCAAGTTCACTTAAAATCTTTCCATGTTTGTAAGGATTTGGTTCAAATTCTAGTTTTCTGGGCAAATCACAGAAAAGTCTGAGCAGCCCTATTAGTGTTCTTAGCAATTCTAACCAGAATAGGTTCTAGAGCATCTTCATCAAACCTATACAAACATTGGTCCATAGAGTTCCATTTTTTTCCCTTATTTTATGATTCATTCTTTTAAAGACCAGTTGTCACTCAGGAAAAATAAGCATGAGCTCCACTGTCTTTCATGGTTATATGCAAATTTATGAAACTTGTAAGTAGTGCAAGCCACAGTCGTTCTCAGAGAGAGCAGTGTGCATACAGTACACGGGGCAGGTGCAAAGCCATACAGCAACGTCATTGTGGCTGACAGTGATTACTGGGAATGGTCAGAACTGGATGTCAAACACAATTTTATCTTCATAGAGGGCAATCACCAGCATGATGGCAAACCCAAAAAGTAATCCAAAATTCTGAAGAATAAATTGCCCCACAGGACAATAGCCATGTTCTTCATTGTCACCATCACCATGCAGCATTTCTGGAAGCTGAAAAAGAAACACATTCTTAAAAAGCGATTTTGGTTTGGTCCAAATAGTCAGTGTGTCAAATATTATCTAATGCTGATGATAAGAGAGGTAAGCATGAGGGCTAGGGACAACTTCAAATATAGAAAAATCCATGTTTGAGTCCTGCCTCCTATAATATATACCATTAAATCTCTTAATGCTACTGGCAACTCAACAAGCTACAGAGAAGAAGTCTATCTGTGTTGGGAGAGGGAGTTTCTTCATTGGAAGTTCCCTATAGAGATTAAATAACAAGACCAATCCCATCTCGATATTCAAACCTCCCTCCATTCAGCAGTACACACCACTCTCCCTGGCGCTCAACTTTTGGGAGTGACAGGTAAATCACAAGAAAGCAAGCTGACAGCAAACATTTGTTTAAAACAAAATTAAGCCTTCAAGTGATCTGCTGTCAGTTTACATTCGGTCTATTCTCCTATATACTATCTACATTTCTGGTCAGAGGACTATATAATTGAGAACTCAAGTTAAAAAAAAATGAATTCAGAGTCACTGAAAGGTCCTGAATTTATGTCTGACATGTTACTTCAAACAAATTAACTTTTATAACTGAGCTCTGTGAGGGGAGGTTATGTGTGTGTATACACACATATATATGTATGTATATCTATGTATACATATATGTGTGTATATATATCTGTATGTATAGACATACATATAGATATACACACATACACACACAAAGAGGAATATGTGTGTGTACACATCCACACATATTATGTATCTCACATCTCAGTACATAATAAATGCTTTTTATTTGAACTGATTTAACTACAAATTTTGTCAACAGAAATGAGCCAAGTTATCACTCAGTTAACCAGAATACACCCAATTACATAAATGTTCTGGTTAATCAAGGTTTTACTATCATACTTGTGGTCAGGTCTCTCCATCATTCAGATCATGGTAAACTAGTTGAAAAAGACCTTTTTCACTGGCCACACTATAAGCACTTCAACTATAACTCTTTGAGGACAAAGAGAATATCTTATCCTACTTGTTGATAGGCCTACAGCTCATAAGGAAAATAAAATAAGTCTGGTTTTTTGAGAGATAACAGGATTAAGAAATTATCCTTTTTTCCACCTGTAATTCCAAATATACAAGGCAGTGCAAAATAGACAGCCAAGAGACAGAACTCTTAGCACATCTGTATGTAGTGTGCCATTAAAGTCCTCATCAACTGGTGGCAGGTATGTTGTTGTTATTATTACTGCAATAATAATAATTATAATAATAAGTCACTAACATGATGCTTTGTAAACCTATATAAACTATAATTTCTATAATAATAAGAGTAGTTAACAAGGGGGGGAGGGTTACAAACCTATGCAAACAATGGTCCACAGAACAATGTTCCGTACATAAAGCATTTTACAAATATTATCTCATTTGACCCCCACTTATGAGGTAAGTCCTGTTATCATATTCATTTAACAGAAGGGGAAATTGCAGCTGAGACTTTAAATGCACTTCTCAATGCCTCACACCTTTAGAATCCTAATTTCCTTTCAAGACTCTGCTTAGGTGTAGTAATCCATGAAGACTTCCTAGAGTTCTCAAATTGTTAGCATTCTCTTCCTCCAAATTGCCTAGAGTTTGGTTATCTATGTGTATGTTATATCCCTCCTCTCATGTTAGGAGAATTTAAGGTCTTTGTCTTGTCTCTGCAGACATGATGCTTTGCATATAGTAGAAGATAAATGCTGAATTACAGAACATTTTTTGTCTTTTTATTTTTTATCTTAAAATATTAAATGTAGTAAATAAACTAGGTATTATTCCACTTATTATGGACACTTCTGCTAAGACACCTAATGAGTTAATGGGTAAGAAGTTAGGTAGGAATAACGGTATCAAAGGAAATTTAGACAGACTTAATTAGCATCAGTACAGAATCAAATCTGATATATCCTTTGGGACCAAGGTTTTATTGTGTGTGGGGTGTGGGGGGGGGTTTGCTTTTTAAAATCAACTGATAAAGAGATTAATTTTATAAATTGTCTTTAAAATGAATGTCCCCCCCATTGTGAATTAATAAAGACCCTAATATTTGTTGTTAACTAACAAATGAATCCAACCATGAAGAACATGAAGAAAATGACAAAATATTTCATGCCTCTTGTTGT